ACTGTGGGGTCGGGCTCCAAATTCCTCAATAGGACACCCATAGCACAAAAGTTAATAACTAGAATCAACAAATGGGACTTACTCAAACTAAAAAGTTTTTTCTCAGCAAAAGAAACAATAAGAGAGGTAAATAGGGAGCCTACATCCTGGGAACAAATCTTTACTCCTCACACTTCAGATAGAGCCCTAATATCCAGAGTGTACAAAGAACTCAAAAAATTAGACAATAAAATAACAAACAACCCAATCAACAAATGGGCCAAGGACCTGAACAGACACTTCTCAGAGGAGGACATACAATCAATCAACAAGTACATGAAAAAATGCTCACCATCTCTAGCAGTCAGAGAAATGCAAATCAAAACCACCCTAAGATACCATCTCACTCCAGTAAGATTGGCAGCCATTATGAAGTCAAACAACAACAAGTGCTGGCGAGGATGTGGGGAAAAGGGTACACTTGTACATTGCTGGTGGGACTGCAAATTGGTGCAGCCAATTTGGAAAGCAGTATGGAGATTTCTTGGAAAGCTGGGAATGGAGCCACCATTTGACCCAGCTATTCCCCTTCTTGGTCTATTCCTTAAAGACCTAAAAAGAGCATGCTACAGGGACACTGCTACATCGATGTTCATAGCAGCACAATTCGCAATAGCAAGACTGTGGAACCAACCTAGATGCCCTTCAATAGACGAATGGATAAAAAAATGTGGCATTTATACACAATGGAGTATTACTCTGCATTAAAAAATGACAAAATCATAGAATTTGCAGGGAAATGGATGGCATTAGAGCAGATTATGCTAAGTGAAGCTAGCCAATCCCTAAAAAACAAATGCCAAATGTCTTCTTTGATATAAGGAGAGTAACTAAGAACAGAGTAGGGTCGAAGAGCATGAGAAGAAAATTAACATTAAACAGGGATGAGAGGTGGGAGGGAAAGGGAGAGAGAAGGGAAACTGCATGGAAATGGAAGGAGACCCTCAGGGTTATACAAAAGTACATACAAGAGGAAGTGAGGGGAAAGGGAAAAATAATACAAGGGGGACAAACGAATGTCAGTAGAGGGAGCAGAGAGAGAAGAGGGGAGGGGAGGGGAGGGGAGGGGAGGGAGGGATAGTAGAGGATAGGAAAGGCAGCAGAACACAACAGACACTAGTATGGCAATATGTAAATCAATGGATGTGTAACTGATGTGATTCTGCAATCTGTATATGGGGTAAAAATGGGAGCTCATAACCCACTTGAATCAAAGTGTGAAATATGATATATCAAGAACTATGTAATGTTTTGAACAACCAACAATAAAAAATTTAAAAAAATTAAAAATAAAAAAAAATAAAATAAAATTCCCTCAAAAGAAATCCCCAAGACCAGATAATTTTACCAGAGAACTTAATCAAATGTTTGAAATTTAACACCATTTCTCTACAATGTATTCCAGTAAGTAGAGAAAGGCCACTTTCAAATTGATTTGATGAAGCTAGTATCAAATCCGTAAAATAGTAAAAAGAACAAAAACAAAAAATAAAAAACTACCAACCAATATCCTTAATGAATATAGATGTGAAAGTCTTTAATAAATCATTAGTAAATAGAATTCAACAATGTATGAAAAGAATTATGTATTGTGACCCAGGGGAACCTATTTCAGGGATACAAGTTGGTTCAACATTTAAAAATTAGTCAGTATAAATCACCTTGTTATAGGCTAAAGAAGGAATATCAGTAATTATATCTGTCAATGAATGAAAAGAAAATTCAACACCCATTCATGATAAAGTTATCAGAAAAATGGGAATAGAAGGGACTTCCTCAGGTTAATAAAGAGCATTTGAAAAAAAAGAAAAACCACTACAACTAACATTATACTAAGTACTTACAAACTGACTCTTTTCACCTAAGAACGAGAATAAGGCAAGAATGCCAAATTTTACCATTTATACTTTACATAGTGCTAGAAGTCGAAGCTGGTTCAGTAAGAGAAGACAAGAAGAGGCATATGAATTGCAAATGAAGAAATAAAATCTCCTTGGTTACACATGACTTGATTGTCTACATAAGAAGTTCCAAGGAATATACAAACACACAAACAGGAACAAACCAACAAAACCTCTCCAGAACTCATGGGTGAATTTAGAAAAGTCATAGGACCCAAGATAAACGTATAAAAATCTAGTGCATTTCTCTGTACTAGCAATGCACATGTGGACACCAAAATAAAAGTTGGAGTGCCACTTATATAACACTCAAAGCAATGAAACACTTAAGTGTAAATTTGACAAAAATTTTTATAGGATTGGTATGCTAAGAACTGTAAAACACTGAAGAAAGAAATTAAAGATCTAAGTAAATGAAGAGATGTAGTACTGTATTCATGAATGGAAGATATAATAAAGATATCACTTCTCTGCGATTCCTATCAAAATCCCAACAATATTTATGTAGATGTTGAAAAGACTATTCTAAAATTCATGTGGTATGCCAAAGGAGCTAGAATACTAACACAGTTTTGAAAAAGAAGAATAAGTTTATCTAATTTCAAGATTCATTATGCGGAAATCAAGCCCAAATGGGATTGGCAGAAAGATGACCCATAGATCAATGGAATGAAATAGATGGGCCAGAAATCACCCACACCAACATGCCCAGAAGATTTTAACAAGGAAACAAAAGCAATTCAGTGGAGGAAAGATCACAGTCTATCTAATAAATAGTGCTGGAGCAACTGGACATCCATAGGCAAAACAATAATAATAACAATAATGTCAACTTAAGTCTAAGTTTTTTTAAATATTAACTCAAGTGGACCACAGACTTAAAGGCAAAATGCAAAACTATAAAGCATTTAGAAAAAAAGCAAGAGAATAATATTCAGTATCTAGGGCTAAGGAGCAGAGTTCTTATGTTTGACCCCAAATGCATGGTCCGTAAAAGGAAAAAAAAAATGATAACTTGGACTTCACCAAAATGAAAAGCTTGTGCTTTACACACACACACACACACACACACACACACACATCTGTTTAGAGAATGAAAAAATATAAACTGAAAGAAAATATTAACAAACCATAAAATCTGAGAAGGTTACAGTATCTGGCATTTAAAAGAAACTCATAAATGCAAAAGTAAAAAAAAAAATTAAACAATTCAATTAGAAAATGAGAAAAAGACATGAAGAGTCATCTCTCTGAAGACTCATTTTTCATTTCACATGAAAAGATGTTTAACATCGTTAGCCACCAGGGAAATGCAGATTAAAATCACAATGAGATAATATCCCACACCTATCAGAGGGACTTAAATGGAAAATAATGACAACTCCAAATGCCTACAAGGATGCAGAAAAGTTGGGCCACTCATGCATTTCTGGTAGGTATATAAAATAGTACAGCTACTCTGGAAAAGTTTAACAATATCTTTTTATTTATTTTTTATTTTTTTAAAAATCATTTTTAAAAAATATTTTTAGTTGTAGATGGACACATATCTTTATTTTATTTATTTTTTAATGTGTTGCTGAGGGATCAAATCCAGTGCCTCACCCATGCTAGGCAAGCTCTATACCACTGAGCTACAATCCCAGCCCCGAGCAATTTCCTTTTAAAATATGCAACTATCATGTGACCCAACAATTGCACTTTAGGGCATTTATCACAAATAAGTGAAAACTATGTTCACATTTTTAAAAACTTGTACACCATTGTTTATAGGAGCATTATACATAATTATTCCCCAAAAGTGGAAATAACTCAGAGGTCCTTAAATGAGTAAATGATTAAACTTGCTGTGGCACATCCATGCATGAAATATTACTCAACAATAAAATTAAATGAACTATTGATAGGCACAGCAACCTGGATGAGTCTCCAGAGGATTAAGCCAAGTTAAAAAAAAAAAAAGCCAATCCCCAAATGGTTATATATTGCCTTGTTCCATGTTTACATTATTGAAAGATTAATACGATAGAGAATGGGCTGGTGGTTGTTAGGGATCAGGGATGAGAGTTGGCAGGAAATGGGTGTGACTATAAAGGGGTAGCCCGAGGAAGCCTCATAGTGATGGGACACTTTGGGATCTTGGTTGTGATGATGATTACATAAAACCATATGTAAAGTTTCCTGGAGCATATAAATGCATATAAAACTGGAAAGTCTGAATTAGGTCTATGAATTGTGCAATTTCACATGTCTATTTTTGATGATGTACTCTGGTTGTGCAAGATGTTAATTTGGGGGGTGTCTGAGGGAGGTGCATGGAGCCTCCCTGTACATTTCTTTCCAATTTCCTCTAAATTTATATCTATTTCAAACTAAAAAAAGTGATACATAAATAAATGGATAGATGGTGGATGAATGATGGATGAATGGGTGAGTGGATGGATGGATGGATGGATGGATAGAGTGGATGGATAGACCAATCAATAAAAGGGGGCCAATAAAGACACGTATAACATCCATTTGGTCTCTGCTGCTGTTTATTGAACCCTTCTAAAGCCAAAGTATTTATACATATCATTACCTCTCAAAAAAAAAATCTTGAGAAATGGGTATTCTTTCTGTTCTCCATGTGGGGAAGCAGGGGCTTCAAAGCCACTAGCCAAGGAAAGGACTCTGTTTCTCTAGAGCACACACCTGTGACCATTGCACCATACCCCCTCTACCATCACGGTCACACCAGCCACCAACAGGGAGATTCCACTTTGACCCCTACCAGCAGATGGACGTGCTGCCCTGAGATGAGCATGGGGCCTGGGAGTGGTGAAACCCACCTGGGCAGATCTCAATGCAGAAGGCAGGGGTGGGGTCCTGTGTAGCTGCGTCAGCCCTGAGGGGAGTTGGGGGAGGGGCACCCCTGTTTCCCCTACATCTACACCCCCAATACTGGCCCTAGCCCAGAGCCATTACTCAGGGGACACTCACACCACTGTTCCTGACCCTACTTCCTGACCTGAATCAGGTCATGTGACCCCTAACCAATCCATCTCTTCCCTTTTCCAGAGTTGAACTTCGTCACCCAGTCCCCAGAGCCAGCAAGACATGGGCCCCATTTTCCAAGGCCTGACGCCTCTCATTTAACCAGAAGACGTGGAGGGGTGAGTTGACACTGGGGATTTGTTGTGGGGAGGAGGGCAAACTGAGTAGAGAGCAAGTGCCGCGTGAGCAGAGGTTGTTAATGGAGGGTCAACTTAGCAGGAGCACAGAGTGTTTGAAAGCAGCTACCTTCCATTGGCTATCCTGTTGGGGATACATGTATCATTGTGCAACATTTGGCCTGTTTGGAGAAACTCCCTGGAAACCCTTTTGCGGTTGAATTAGAAGTGGGGCATCAGAGTTGGAGGTGGAAGGCAGTAGGACTTCACGTGATAGATGGTTTTCATTCCCAGGGTCTGCCCCAGCCCTGACTGTTGCTGGGGGATCCAGGCAACTCTGACACTGCCTCTGTCCTGGGAGGACAGACTGGTGCTCACATGAAGGCCGGTAACATCACCTGGCCCTGGTTCCTTCTTCTACCATCTGGGCTGCACATGAAGCCTCAGAGGTGGGCTTACTGTGACCCATGCTTGAGCTAAGAGAGTCAAGAGTGCCAGTCGGCTGAGTGGTCGTAGTATGTTTAGTGGTTATCAAGAGCTTGAGAGATGGACTCAGATCTGAGTTCAAAATACCAGTTTTGCAACTGAGGAAGCTTCTCTGAGCCAGCATGCCCTTATCCATAAAATGGAGACCAGAATGGCATCTTACAAAATGTACACAAAGATAATCCAGAGTACCTGAAACATGGTAGGTACCCAATAAATACTTGTTACGCACTAGGTATCTCATCTGTGCTACTGGAATGGAATCAGCCTTCTCCCTGGGGTCAAAATGCCATTCACCTTGCAGAACTAGCACACATGGCAGCTCCATGAGATTTCCCTGGCCCTTTGCTGGAACCAACTGTGTCTTTTTATGTGCTCCTGAAGCCCTTCCTTTTGGCCTGATTTTACCTCGCTCCACCCACCTTGCTGTATGATGGTATATCAGGAACCAGAGCTTGTACCACTCATCTCCAGCATCAGATCCAACTTATCTTCCTTAAGAACATCCTCCCAGCACCTGCCCTCCCCCCCCCAGTAGATGTAGTTGGCCCTTTACACAGACGAGTAAACTGAGACCCCAAGAAGCAACTTTGCATCCAGGATGCAACTGTGAGATTCTGACTCTGAAGATACAGCAGACTTCCACCTGCCCCTGCTCCTACCTGCACAGAGTAACCCCAGAGCAGAACCAGGATGGAGCAGGCCTGCAGGCTGCTGTGCCTCACCTCCTCCCTCAGAGATTCCCCAGACCTCTTGCCTCTATGAAGTTTGATTTCTCGCCCAAGCACTTTGGGACTAACCAGATTGTTTTCAAACACATAACATAATTGATCACATATTTATTTAATGCCATCTCTTGAATATTAAACAATTGGTAATACAGAACAGAAAGATGGGCATCTAAACCCAGCAGTTCTTGGCAGGCTTGGGTGAGGAAGGAGGTCGAGGAGAGCTATCTACAAGCCATCCACAGAGGGAGGAGGTGGCAGGTCCCTTCTCTGTCTCCTGAGATGGATTGAAAGTCTCCTCATGGGTTTGTCCCCGGTTGGTGGCAACCACATAGTGGAATTTCACTGTTGAGTGCAACCTGTTTTATTATAGAATAAGGTTGTGTTGTCTTCTCTCTAAAGGATGCTTGAAAGCAGGGCTTCCCGTTTGTTTGTTCTTGAGTGTTCTTGAGCACCTCTGTGTACAGTCATTGTCTGCCTTTTATCCCTCTCTGGGTGCCCTTGAATTAAAAGAGCAAATGAGACCCTGTCCTCATGGCGGTGACATCCCTGCAGACTGTGATGCGCTAAATACAGAAGGCAGCTTCAAGGTGTGATAAGCTTTTCAAACAAAGTAAGCAGGGTGGAGTGGCAGGTGGCCAAAGGAGGTGACATTTGGCAAGAGGTCTGGATGGTAGAGCAGCCAGCATGCAGGGGTCTTGGGTCTGGGGAGGACATTGCTGCAGATGTAAAGGCTCTAAGGAACGGGGGGGGGGGGGTGTTGGGAGGAACAGAGAGGAGGGCAGCGGGGCTGGAGAGGGGTATGCAGGACTGACAGGCCATGTGGGCAGAGGAGTGGGCATGTGGCGAGGGGCAGGGCACACAGGGCTCCTGTGAAGAGCTGGATTGTAACTGATACGCAGCAGTGAAGCTACAGGGGGGTTCCAGAAATCTGATGAATGTATGAGGAGCATCCCTCTGCAGCTGGCAGAGGACACAGGCCACGTGGTCACTAGGAAGGACCAGGTCACAGCTCTAGATCTGGGTTTCTGGTGGTGGGCAGAGAGAATGCAGGGGCACACGAGAGGAGCCACCTGACCCCATGAGTGTCCTTCCAGCCTCAGAACCCTGGTGAACCCATCTTAGGCCTCAAGGTGACCTTAGGTTTTCCCAGGGCGGCTGGAGTATCCCTCACAGTCACAGCAGTATCAATCATAGAAATAGTGTCTAGGAGATACTAGCACTCACAGTGAGAGGGATACTGCAACGAGAGCCCTATCCTCACCCCAGCCTATGACATCTGTAATTTTATTATTTCCATTTCACAGAGGAGGAAACCAGGCCACAGAGTGGTTAAGTCAAATGTCCAGGGTCACTCAGCAAAGAAGTAGCACAGTTGAGATTTGAACCCTGTCCAGCTGACTCCACACATATGGTCCTCAATCCGTGTTGGCTAATTGAATTCATAATAACAAAAGCAGCAGTGGCACAAATAACCAGAGAGGTCACTTAATACAGTACCTGCTACGTGCCAGGCCCTGATCTAAGTGTTTAAAAACACATCAGTTAGTCCTCACTACAGCCCTGTGACTACGATCCCCATTTTACAGGGGGAGAAACTGAGGCACAGGGGCAAGTGACCTACTCTAATAGGTATTTCAACCCAGGCAGAGTCTGGCTCTGGAGTCTAGGTTTTTAGCAAAATGCAGTGGAGTGCAGGAACCGATCATCTGAATCAGTTATGTCTGCGTGTCCAAGTCTGGGTCAAGGCCACTCGCCCATCTAGAATTGAGCAGCAGCTCTTCTGGGGTGGTCCCTGGGGATCTGGAGTGTGGGGTGGGAGCAGACCCCCCCCCCAACCAGGAGCCACGAGAGAGTCTGGCTGAGCTGTCCTCCCTGGAGCCTTGCGATGTGACCTTATTTGGAAGTAGGGTCTTTACAGATTATCCAACATCAACACAATCTGATTGGAAAGATAATCTCCTGACAAGGGAGTTGAGAAATTCCATCCCTGCCAAGAGGAGCATCCAGAGGGGAAAAAAAAATGAACTGCAAGATGAGTTGAGTCAGAAAACATTTGTGGAAAATGTCTTACTCCAACTCTGTGCCAGAATATCACCTAAAACATCCGCAGTAGAAACCCTGTCTAGGTAAAAATCGCAGGCTTCCTTCCTTGTAAATAAGTTCCATTTGGCAGAATTTCCACATCAGAGTGATGTATCGGCAATCACAACTAAGGATAGTTCACAAAGCAACGTGTCACTCCCTCAAATACAGACAAGGGGATGGGTTCCTGAACCCCTCCCAATGCCTCCCACCCAAGGTTCAGAACTTGTGGATGCTCAAATCTCTTATGTAAAATGTCCTAGTATTTGCATGAAACCTACACCCGTCCTCCAGTGTACTTTAACTCATCTCTAGACAACCAATAATACCCTATACAACGCAGATGCTGTGTGAATCGTTGCTATACTATATTGTGTAGGGAATAATGACAAGAAAAAAATATGTGCATGTTCAGTTCATATGCAACATTTTAAATATATTTTTGATTCCCACTTGGTTGAATCCATGACGTGGAGCCTGTGGGTACAGAGGAATGACTGGAATTCCCACCTGAGTGGTGTGCTGCAGGCCACATACATGAAAGTGCTTTGTGCAAGATGAAAATTTGCTCGAATCAGGGTTTTTAAAGTACTTGATGATTCTTTAACAGCTTATCCTCGCAGAGAGTTTGGCTATTTCCCTGCAGTGTTGCTTCTCAGTGAGAGAAACCAGGAAAACACAGGCTCTCCCTGGCCAGATTGCCTCATAGTCTAAAATACAGGGGGACAGAGCAAAGATGTGGAGCCAATACCCTGAGCCTCTGGGAAGGACCTGTAGCTGTCCTGCGTGGCTTCTGTCCTTGCATCTCTCCAGTCCCCTGCCTTCATGCAGAGGTGGTGTGGCACAACACACATCTCACCTTGCCAGGTGCAGGTCCTGCCTGCATTGTCCTAGCCAAGCTATTTAAATGCTCCTCTGTCTCCTCTGCTCCTCTGTATTTTTTTTTTAAATGGGAGTGATGAGCACTCCCACTTGACAGTATTGGAAGGATGAAATGGGAAGAGAAAATATGATGTGCCCAGAACGGGCCCTAGACTGCTCAGTGGCTCTTGTTCTCCTGGTGGTCCGCAGTGGGGATGATCGCCTTGAATCAGGAGGACCTCAGAGGCTTCTTTCTTCTGGGACTTTGTTGGTCTCTTTCAGCCACACAGCACAGGGAAAAGAGCTTGCTGTCCAAATTAGTTTCCCAGGGCTGCTGTAACACAGGATCATGAACCGAGGGGCTTGACGTAACTGAAATGTGCCGTCTCACAGTTCGGGAGTCTTGAAGTCTGAGATCAAGGTGTCAGTGGGGTGTCAGAATCTATTCTGGGCCTCTCTTCTAGCTTCTGGTGGTTTCCTGGCCATCTTTGGCCTTCCTTGGCTCATAGATGTGGCTCTCCAGTCCCCTGCCTTCATGTCATCTTGCCTCTGCATATCTGTGTCCAAATTTCCTCTTTTTATAAGAACACCAAGTCATTTCAGGTTAGGGCCCACCCTAATGGCCTCATTTTAACTTGATTAGTGCCAAAGACCCTATTTGCAAGTAAGGTGACATTTTGAGGTACTAGGAGTTTCGACTACAACATGGGATCGCGATTCAATCCCTAACACCATCGTAATTACTTGAAGCTTAAAGGATGAGCCACCCATTCACTCATGACATGGAGATCCTCAAATAGACTCGAAGGATATTTTCCAAAAGGGCAGTGTTCCTCTCAAAAT